AAACTATATCAGCTAACCTAACCATAACTAACTACTAAACTTAACTATAGTTAAGTTCTAACAAACTATCTACAACTAACTAACTAATTACAACACTGCACGTGTATGGGGCTGCACCTGTGATTGTGTAGACAGTTGGAACTGTGGCTGAGATTGCAGCAGCTCAAGCACTTAGACTCGGATGATTTGGATGATGCTAGCTGCTGTGGTTCAAGTGGTTCAGGTGGTTTATCAATATTAACAATCTGTAAAAAAAATAAAATAACTTTTTTTTTTTTTTTTGGTGATATAGCAAGATATCGCTTTGCAATCCAACCATATTAAAACATCCTAAGATTCATCAGATCTATTGAATGAAACAAATAACAATTACTCAAACATTCTGAATAAATGCTCTCTTAGGCTGAAGCAGAAGAACTTCATGCCCAGCTCCTCTCACTGTGGCAAAGGTTAGTCCATCATACACCTCTGTCCACCATCCTACCTATTTATAGAAAATTAGTATACCATTTACAGAATGTTATTTTCCTAGATGGAGCATTTATTCTTTTCCAACTCAATAGCCACAATCACAAGAGAAGAACACAAAACAAAACACACAGAAAGAGAGAGAGATGAACAGTTTGTAAGGAATTTATCAGAGCAATTACGATGAAAAATCAGAAAACAATAACAGAGAGATGAACAGTTTGTAAGGAATTTGTTATGAAAACACTTCTAATGCAAACAAACAATCAAAAATAAAAAATTGTTTCAAATCATTAGTCTCGCAAAAAAAAAAAAAAAAAAAAAAATCTCAAATCAAATCAAAATCATTCAGGAGCAGTGAATTATCTATTTTCAATGGCGATTCAAGTCTATGGATACAAATATTTTACCTTAAAATTGACCTATCTCTCTTCAATGGTGATTCAAGTATATGATTAATCAGTATGATTTTACCTCTTTCAATCCTTTTTAGCTTCAGCTTCGAGGAATCAAGCTAATATACCATCGATTTGATTGATCGAGATTTACGCTTCTTTTGGTTGGAAAATTTGGAGATAGATTTAGAAAAGAAAAATATAAAAATTTGTGAAGTGAAATATAAACACAATATTTTATTTATATTTTATTTTATTTATTTATTTATTTATTTTAAATTCTTTTTCAAATTCTTAAACTAAGGGTTGGTTTGGGTGTTCTAAAAAAATACACTTTTTATTTTTTAACGAAAGGATGTGTAGAAAAGTAGAGAAGTGATGTGATGAAAAAAAAATAAAAAAAAAAGATAAATTATATAAGTTATGTCAAACTTACCCTAAATACAGCATTAGGGATGAGAGAGAGAGAGAGAGAGAGAGAGAGAGAGAGAGAGTAGATGCATTTTTTTGTTTTTGTTTTTGATAGTCCCGACTATTGAGTTCAAAAAATATATAAAATACAATAATATATGATTTGGGTTTATGAGGGACCAACTAAAATTGTAGGAAAAAGTTATTCATCTTTTTACAACTAAATAAATTTGTCTAGAAAATGTAATAGTAGGATTAAATATATATTTTTAAATTTTTTTTTATTTTATCTTTAAAAATATAATTTTTAGAGAAAAATTATTTTTACTTCTAAAAATTTGTAAATAAAATCTTAATTTATTATAGTAAGGGCAAAATAATAATTTTACCCTAATGACTTTCCTTACGAGCTATTCTTAAATAATATTGACTTTTTTTTTTAATTTTTTAATAATTTTTTAACTTTTTTAATTTATCCCAAATAAGGCCTAAGTTTAAAAGAAAGCATTTTTTAACTAATCTCCAACAGAAGAGGGTCATGCTAACATGTGTTTTAAGGTAGATATTAAGAAAGTTTAAAAAAGAGGAAATATCATTTCTTCCTTAAGCTATTACGCGTTTTTTACGTTGACCCTCATATTTCAATTTATTTTAATTTAGTACTCGAACTTTTCACAAATTGATCAATTAGATCCCTGCTGTTACATTCCGTCCACAATTGGACGGAATGTGCTGATGTAGGGGACAAATTGATTTTTAAAGTATAGTTTAGGGGGCAAATTGATTTGGGGGGTAAAATGAAAATTTAAATGAATTTTGGTACCATGTCAGCACATTTCATCCAATTATAGACGGAATGCGACGGCAGAGGTCAAATTGATCAAAAATTTAAAAGTTTAGGTATAAAATTGATATTAATCGAAGTCTAGGGATCAACATGAAAAGTGCGTGATAGTTTGGAAGAGAAAATAATATTTCCTCTTTAAAAAATTTGTTCATTTTTTATTACACACTTTCATACAAAATTAATAATTTCTTTTTTAAAAAATAAAAATTAAATAAATAAAAAAGAAGAAGAAGAAATCATCTTAATATTTTTATAACTTCTCAAATCCTCAAGTTTGGTTAGTTTGGAGTTTTGCATCACTTCGTCTGCACCACATTAAGAATTGGGAAATCTCATTGGAATGTGGCAAAATTCTTTATTATTTTTTTAAGGTGAGTTTTAGATGTCTAATTTATATAATATTATTATTAAGAAAATTACAGTGGTAGTTTTTGTAATGGTTTTTTTTTTTTTTTTTGGATGTATTTATTTAGTCCCTATGTTCTAATTACAATATTATTATTCTTTCATTTTGCATTTTGTGTCTAAACAGGTCCAATTGATAACAATCATAAAAATTAATTACATCAATGGTCCTTATATAGTACCAAACACTTTAAAACACTTTTTTTTTTTTTTTTTGTTACAGGAAAATCCTCTCACTCTCCCGCAGGTCCAAGGCAGTGCCCCTTGAGGAGATCACCAGGGTATCCTGTTGTCCGTTCCGAGTAAGAGACTATAACCTGGAAGCTTGTCCCGACCTCCCAAGACAAGCTCCACTTAAGTCAGGACTCGCACAGCTGGGGAGCATTAAACCCACACCAAACTGCTGATTAAGTATCCTGAGGTCAACCTCCTAACCAACTGTGCTAGGCCTAAGAGATTGGCCCAAAGAAGAATCGAACCCAGGACCTAGGGGCTTAAACCCCAGACCCTTACCAGGTTGCCACCCACCCCTGGGTTTTAAAACACTTTTCATTTAGTTAATTAAATAAGTCTTATACAATAGTTTTCAAATTGAAATAAGGTTGCTTGAAAAAACAGTTAAACATGTGTTTAAACTACCCTAAAATTACACCAACTACATCCCATACGTCAAGTCCTATGATGAGAACGTAATTACATTTGGACTTTAAAGCCATCGATGTTACAATCAAAATTTAGACATTATTTTATTTTTATCCTTGTACTTTGTCATGTTTTTCAAAGACACTCCCAGACTATTATTATTTTCACGCGTACCCCTATACTATGTGAATTCCTTTTAATTTTACCCCTGCCGTCTATTTCTATCAAGGAAGTGGACGGAATGGGTGACGTGACCCCCTATACTTTCACATGGAGAGAAAATTAAATAACCTGGCTGAGCATAATCAAGTTACATACATTGGGGTTACTTAGAACTCCCAAAATTGCAATTAGGGCTTTTAATTTTTTAGCAAAATTCCAAAATCAAAGCTGAGAGTGAACAACAACTGTGAAATCACATTCAAATTAAAGGTTGATCGATGGGTTGGGTGCTAAGAGAGAAGAATAACGGTGGAGGAAGACAAACACATGTATATGGTATGTATGTTTTATTATTTTTTTTAATGTTGTTTTAAGTTATTTTTTGTTGTTGTTGGAAATCACATGTGTTTGATGTTAACATTATTTTAGGAAGGTAAAATCTTTGTTTATTTGTATGTGACATGGATTTGTTAATGAAATTTGTTTATATTTGTTTCGGTTTGGACAGTTTTACTTTAAGAAAATCCTTGTTTATGTTTGTTTGAAATTGATGAACACATATGAAATCTTTGTTTTTTTAGTTGTTTGTATTTCACATAAATGACTACTTGTTTATTATTTATCTATCTTTATTGTAATGTAATAGGATTTTATCATTGTGAGTTCCATTGAATAGTAGTGTTAATGGCACATTTCAAATTCAAAATGTAGAAGATGGATCTGGGTATTTTATAATCAAAATGCATCATGGAGGTATGGTGAGGTATATTCCACAGAGGGTTTACAGTGGTTGTATGGTAAGTCATTTTGACTTTTGTCATTCAGATCAAATTTCCATTACAAAGTTGTGTTGCATGGCTAAGGAATTAGGACATAGGCCAAGTAACTATTACAGTAAGGTTAGTGGTTATAGTGGGATGGAGTTATTAAAATTTGATGCTGATGTATTGATGTTAGACACATATGTGGATGAAAACAGAGTAATATATGTTTATATAGGACACAATTTGGATGATTATGTAAGTACACAAAGTAGTCAAGTAGGCTCAAGTGTAGAAACAAGTAAGAGTAAAGGGGTAATGCCTGATGTTGAATTAGAGCAAGATGAAGATAGTGATGAATATGATCCTGACCAGTCAGACTCATCCTCTGATGAGTCTGAAAAATATAATGACAGTGACTATGAGCAAGGTGATGATGATGCTTTATATGATAAACATGTTGACAAAGATGTGAAATTTGGTGGTTTAGGAAGTAGTAAGGATGCTATGGGTGATGTGGCTAACAATGATGACCTACAAAGCATGGACAACTCATCTGATGAGTTAAGAAGCCTTCATAGCTCCTCTGATGAAGATAGTCAGTAAACTAGGATTAAGTATCCTGTTTTCAGTGAGAGTGACATGCATAATCTTACATTCCAACTTGGCATGGAGTTCAAAACAAATGTGTTTTTTTAGAGATACTGTGAAGGAGTATGCTATTAAGTGGGTCAAACAAATCACATTTACTAAGAGTGACAAACAGAGGGTTAGGGCAGAGTGCAAATCGGGTTGTCCTTAGGTTTGCTATGCTTCTTTTGTGAAGGGTGAAGGGGTGTTTAGAATCAAAACTTTTGTAGATGAACACATATGCAACAAAACATTTGATATGCTACATGTGAGTAGTAGATGATTGTCAATAAGTATTGGGAAAGGATTAGGTTAAACCCTAACTGGCCAATTAAGTCATTGGCAGACACCATTACAACAGAGCACAATGTCAAAGTTGACCTGCAGAAAGTGAGAAGGGCAAAAATTAAGGCTCTCACAATAATTGAGGGTACTGCATCTGAACAATTTGCAATGCTTTGGGGTTATGTAGAAAAGATTAGAAGTAGTAATCCAGGAACAACAATTTCCATGAAGGTGAAAGAAGTTCCAAAAGTTCATGAAGAGGATGCGCAAATGCCCAAGTTTAAGAGATTGTATTTGAAGAAGAGTTTCCAAAATGCTTGTAGACCAGTCATTGGAGTGGATGGTTGTCATTTAAAAAGGCCACATGGCGGAGTGTTGTTGACTGTAGTGGGGATGGATGCAAATAATTGTATATTCCTATTTGCCTATGCCATTATTGAGAAGGAGAAGAAGAAAACACGGTTGTGGTTTCTGAATTTGTTGGGGAAAGACTTGAATATTGTGAATTCTCATTATTACACTTTCATAAGTGACAAACAGAAGGGCCTAATTGATGCAGTGGCTGAGCTCTTTCCAAATGTCTCACGTAGGTTTTGTGTAAGGCATTTGTACAACAATTTCAAGGGTTAATTTAAAGGTAGAGTATTGAAGGATTTGTTATGGAAGGCAGCCAGGGCAACCACTGTTGGTGTATTCACTAAAGTTATGGAAGAAATGAAAGGAGTTGATGAAAAAGCATACAATTGGTTTGCTAGAAGAGCACCAATCCATTAGAGTAGGAGTCACTTTCACAGTTTCCCTAAGTGTGACATTTTGTTGAATAATCTTTGTGAGTGTTTCAATGAAAGCATATTGTAGGCTAAGGATCAACCTGTGCTGTCCATGTTAAAGAAGATAAGAGTAATGTTGATGAAAACAGTTCAAAAAAGAAATGAAGCAATGAAAAGGTACAACAGAAGTGATATATGTCCTAAGATTTAGAAGATTTTGGAAAACGTCAAGGTGGGTGCAGTTGGATGGATTCCTAGATGGAATGGGGGTTCTCAATATGAAGTTGTTGGCCCATATGGTGAGCAATATAAGGTGGACTTGAAAGAATGGACTTGTGGATGTAGGAAATGGGATCTGTCAGGCCTTCATTGTGTCCATGTTGTGGCTGCTGCAAACTATATGGATGAAAAACCAAAAAAGTATGTGCATCATTACTATAAAGTTGAAAACTACCTGAGGATTTATAAGAACATGTTGACTCCAATCAATGGTAGACAAGTCAATATGGTAAAGTGCTACCACCTGATGTAAAGAAGAGAGTTGGGAGGCCAAGACTGAAAAGAGGAAGGGCACAGATGTCCCAATTGATGCAACTGATTCAAGTAAGCCGGGAAGGAGGGGAACTCAGATGACATGCAAGAATTGTGGGAAGTTGGGACACAACAAAAAGACATGCAAAGTCAAAGGCCAATTCACCTACCTGAAAGACCCTATGAGTTCCAGTCAAGTAATTTATATTTATTTATTTTTTTCAATTTTGTTAACTTACACATTGCTAACTTTTGTTTTTTAGTTTTTGCAGTGCCAGCATGAAGGAAGCCAATGTCAGGCCCAGACTGAATAGGAGCCAAACTTAAAGTCAGGTAAAATAAAGCCTGGTTGGGAGTCAGGTTACAAAAGCAACTCAAGTTAGGAAGAAGAAGCAGGCTGTAAGTTTTGCAAAGGCCTCTTCGTTGCATATGTCCTAACAATGATGATGGCTATTATAGGTAACAAGGAGAAAGGTTATGAGAACAACTGACTCAACTCCATTGCATGCAAGTTAGGATGTGCCAGGGTCTGCAGTAACTTCCAATACTAACATTCCTGTGCAAGCTCAAATGAGATGGAGAGGAAGAGTGGTGTACAATGCTAGTGATGTCAAATCTGTTGTGGGTCAAACCAAGAATGCAGCTAACACAGAGTAATGGATGTGAAGGACCACCGTTTTTTTTTTTTAAAATGTTGGAGAAGGTTTTTGCTACTTTTGTTCATGAAATACAATGTAATGGATGTGAATGTTTTTGCTACTTTTGTTCATATTCCATAACCTTCATAGTGGTAGGGGCTTTTTGTACATTTGAAGCCTAGTTTTTGTATTGGCTGCCCCTTTCTTAGTATATGTTTTGAACAACAAGAGTGGCGAGTGTATAATTGATCAACGTTTGAATGATAATTTACTGTTGATTTGCTGTTGTTTCCAAGTCATGATGTTCATTGGTTATGTTCACAATTGTTGATATTCATTGTTCATTGGTGATGTTCATTGTTTATTGAATTTGGAGTGATAATTATGGTCACAAATTGTGTACCTACTTCTGTATGTTTCCTTTGTCTATGTCAGAGTCAGAAAACACAAAATAATGGAGACAACATTAATAAGTCACCAAGTGCACAATTTTCATCTCAAAAACATATTTTCTATTAACAACACTTCACCCATTGCATATGATTCATAAACAGGATATAGACTTCATTCATTCTTACACTACCATACAACTTCAAACTTTACATTTTAAACCATATTCCTACAACCAACCATGACAAAACCAAGCAAATCCATAGTTTCCTCTCTCTTCGAGTCCTTCTCTTCAGTTGTGCTTTCATTTTATTTATAGTGATCTCGGTTTTCCTCTCATGTTTACTGTATTCCGGACTCGGTTCCGTTGGTAGTTGTTGTTGTCTGTATTTCATTTCTGTCCTTTAACTCTTTGTATTTGAGTTTAGAATTGCCTTAGGCGTGTTTCGAACAGGTTGGTTGAGCTTTTGTCCCAACTCTTGTTGCCCAGATTTTTAGTGATCCGCTCGAGCGGGTCTTCTTGCGCTCGAGCGGAGTTTGCATACCTTCAGTAGTTTGTCCGTCTGCAAAAAAATACTACAGATGTGTTTTTCACACTCGAACGGATTTCTTTACGCTCGAGCGGGTATCCTTGCGCTCGAGCGGATGTTCAATGTCTGTAAAAATACTGGAAGAAGGTAATCTACGCTCGAGCGGGTGGAGTTTTGCAGTTGTGTCTTGGAGCTCGAGCGTGTATCCTTGCGCTCGAGCGGGTCCAGTTTTTGTGTTTGACGCTCGAGCGTCCTATTCTCTGCTGTAACAGGTCATACGTATATCAGTTGGCAGCTGGGCCATTTTAGATCACTTTTTCAACTCTGTCTCTCTCTCTTACTTTTCAAAAACCTATTTTGAGAGCTTCTCTCACTACATTTCACCTTCTCTCTAGGGTTTGATCTAGTTTGAGTGATCTCCTACCCTTGGTCCTTTGTAAAAAGTGTGGAGCTTGGTGAGGGCTACCTTTTGATCAGAAAATTTCTTGGTTTGGAGCACTTTGAGTTTTTTTCATCTTCTCCTTTGAGTTCCGAATTTGAGGTAGGGATAACTACTCATCTTTATGGTCTTGACATAAACATGTAGTTATTTTGATTAAATGTTGATTAGGGAAAGTTTGGGAGTTAGGGTTTCAAAAGTTATAAAGAGGGGTTTTGTGATTTTAACCCATAAACTTGAATTTTAGGTCTTAAAGAGAGATTAATGATGTTGTTGTTAATATTTGAGCCTTAGGGTCACTGTTGAGGAAGAGAGAGGAAAGCCCTAATTCTTGTTATGAATTAATTTATATAATTAATTTGGGAATGTTATGGAAATATGAAATTTAGTTGGAAATAATGAAATTGACTCATTATGAAGTAGAATGGTGGAGTTGGGCTTAATAATCACTCACCTTGTGAATTGTTGATAATTTATCTGTTGATGCATTTATTATCAGTTTAGAAATAATTGTTTTGGACTACCGGTGGAGGGTAGTCTTGATTGTTGTAGACAATGCATGATGATTAGGCGAATTAAAACTAATCAATTGAATATGTCATCGAATATGATGGTTGGAATAATATATCAAATTTGTGTATTGATTGGACATGTATATAATAAACGTTTATATACATTGTATTGTGTGGGAGGAGATAGGGGATGTACTCCACGGTTTAGGAGGAGATAAGGGATGGACTCCTAAACTGGATATTGTTTGGCAGAAGATAGGGGATGGACTCCATTGATACAGCAAATATGTGTATCATATATAAAGTATGGAAGTGTTTTATTTGAGATTGATACAGCAAATCTGTGTATTATTTGTGAAGTACAGAAGTGTTTAATATGAATTGTTATCTCATTTGAAATTGAAAGTATTGTTGATATGAGTCGTTATCTCATTTGAAAATTGAATTGTTGATAAAGGAAATGTGTTAGAATGAGATGTAATCTCATTTGATTTGTTTGGCCATGTTCTGAGCCATGTTTATTAATTGAAACTGTATAAGTAAAGGAAATTTGTGACAACCCTCACCACGGATTAACTGTTAAACTGTGACTGAATATGATAAATAACTGATTAGACTGAAATTCTGAACTGATTGATTGAGTGTATTAGTTTAATTGCAATCTATCTGTTTGACTGCTAAATGATCTATTCATGTTTTATGTTTTAAACTGCAAATTGAAGGCCTTATCGGCAGTTGAATATGAAATTGATTAGTGTTTTATGCTAATTAGAATTTATGTGATTTTATGGCATGTTTAATTGAAATTTGATTTAGTATGATTAAATTAGATTAAAGAATGTTAAATTGCTTTAGTTGGTTTAATTACCAAACTTGCCATTGAGTGGCCATTTCCTACACCCTTGTTAGTGACTTAACCATTGCATTATAAACACCATCTCAACCATTTTCTCCAAAGACCAAACCGACAAGAGAGAGAGAGGTAGGAGAGAATTGTTTCATCTTGAATTTAGCTTGGAATTTGAAGGAATTGGAGGATTAAGTGCATAGTAGGCTCCCACACATGAAATTGAAGACTTAAGGTAGCGAATTTCCCTTTTTAATCATGAATTTCAGTAGATTCTTGCATGGTTTATGATATATTGAAGATTGGAGTCAAGTATTAGTTTAAAATGTTGAATTGAGAGCTAGATCATGCATGCATGTGCACATTATTGAGTTTTAAGGTGGCTTCATGGAAATTCTTGCATGCAAGTTTACATTCTTTTCTAGCCCATGAATTCATCATATTCTTGAGCTCCCTCTTGTCTTGGATCATGTTTTAGGGCATTAGAAGTCATTAGAATTCATGCATGTTACACGTACATTGTGTTCATGAAGTTTTGTTTGAATTTGTGTTTAATTGAACTACCTTTGGGCTTTGATTTTGCAAATTGATCTTTGAAACATGTCATATTATAAGTTTTAAAGTGTTTTCCAGAAAATTAGCCCAAAAGGATCGAATTTGATGCATTTAAAGTTGGTTTTGAGCTTGGAGGTTCAATCTGAAAATTCCAGATTTTGGACCCACGCTCGACCATAAGCCTTTGCGCTCGAGCGTACACTCTGAATACTTGCATCCCGCTCGATTGGGGAAAGTAACGCTCAAGCGTGAAATGCGTGTATCCAGTACTTTGCATGTGTTTACAGTCCGCTCGAGCGAGGGAATGCACGCTCGAGCAAGGACCTGAGTCTCATGCTCGAGCGTTTATCGAGCGCCCATCGAGTGTATTTTTGTGCATCTAGTACTTTTATTGTAGTTTACAGTCCACTCGAGCGAAGGAAGTCACGCTCGATCGGAGCTCCTTTGTCTGCATGTCCACTCGAGCGTAGAAAGCCACGCTAGAGCGAGATCCCTGTTTTCTGAAAATTTTGAAAAGTGTTTTAAAGTGCATCTTTGCATCCTCATTTTATCCTAGGCATTCCTAGGCCTAGTTTAAGGCATCTTAATGAGGATATTGATATAGAACCACACCGAGTCAAGATAGGGACTAAGTTATTGTTTCCCAAACGTACAACTTAGTGTGTGTTCATCCTGTAACTGTGTAGGGTTGGCATTCGAGGACACTCACTAGCCTATCTGTAGCCCAGAACTCTGTGAGGAACAATGTTATAAAGATATGTTCAATCATGAATATTTTCTGAATGATTAACTGTACTGCTTTCCGAAATGATATTTCTTACTGAATGAATGTTTGTCCTATTTGCGAACTGTATTCGTGGCATCCTTAGCAATTACTGTTACTGTTACAAAGATCTATGTCGGTTCCCATGTTGGAACCACTACTATTTATTGATACGATCGCCATCAACTGACTGTTCGGTCTAATAAGACCAATTGTACTGTTTGCTATTGGATATACCACATATGATTATTATGGTTTATAAATGACTATTATGGCATGAAATATGAGTCACAAATTGAATGACTGATATACTGTTATAACTGACTG